GGAAGGAAGGAAGGAAGGAAGGAAGGAAGGAAGGAAGGAAGGAAGGAGAGAAAGTAGGAAGGAAGGAAGGTTGGTTTTCTTAAGCACCTACTATGCTCCAGACACTCTCCTAAGAGCTTTACAAGTATTATCATATTGGATCCTCTCGAGGACCGTGGGAGCTGGTGTTATTGTAGTCCCCATTATACAGTTGAGAAAACTGAGGCAGAGGTTAAATGACTTGCCCAAGGTCATACAGCTGGCAAGTGCCTGATGCCACATTTGAACAGGTCTTCCCTGATTTCTAGCCCAATACTCTGTCCATTGCATTGGAGAGGGGAAATTCAATGGCCAGGAAGAGAAGAAATGTCTCAGTCAGTGAAGAACTACGGTTTGGGCCTTTTAGGGGTCTTAACACGAGGTCCACAGACTCCCTGTGAATCTTGTAAATAGATTTTGCTGGGGTTAGGGTGTATGTATGGACTTGTCTTTTTAATATTTTGATCACTGTATTTCAATATAATTGGCTTCCTTTGTAATCTTACGTATTTTATTTTATGCATTTAAAAACATGATTCTGAGAAGAGGTCCAGGGCTTCATTAGAATGTCAAAAGGATCCAGGAGACAGAGAAGGTTAAGAACCCCTGGATTAGAGAATTGAGGACTGAAATAGATATGGGTGAACCTGGAACCTATTCTCAGCTCAAGGTGGCTCTCAAGGTGCCTGGCTGAGTTATTTCATCTGTTTAGGCTTCAGGTTTCTGCTTTGTAAAATGAAGCCTCTCTCTATAATCTGTGCCTCTCTCCTCCCCTTAATTAGATACGTTGAGCTTGAAGGAGATGAGATCTCTTGACCTGGGTCAAAAGCGCAAACCCAAGGCAGATTATTTGTCTCCTATCAAATAGAAAGCTTCAGCTCTGGAGATATTTTTAAACTAAAGAGAACCCCAGAGGAAAGGACTTAGGGAAACATCTCATACTCATATTGTTCACTGACCCATGGTTATTCTCCCATGGAGCCTATTGTAGGATAATACTGAGTTTATTCTTTGGTAAAGTAATTAAGTCCAGGCCTTATCAATGTTAAGAAAGCTTTGTTATTATCACCTATAATTGGTTCTTACCCTTCATCCCCTGAAACAATTTCTTTCTGCCCGAGTGTGCTTGGTCCCCACGTACGTCCCTTCTTCTTCAGGGCCCTCTTCTCCTCTTCCTCACCTTCCTCCTTCTGGACAACTGAACTCCGACCCCAGGTTTTGTTGCTTTCGCTAGGTGTCACTATGAGAGCCACAGGTGAAATCATCAGGTGAGTATGGAAGCAAAGTTCCCTTCATATCCATTTCCTGTGTACTTGGAGGATTCAGAGAAGAAGAGAAGAGCTGGACATTTAAGTGGCATGATGAAAAAAAGCCTGAATTTGGATTTGGAGGGCCCTGGGTTCAAAATCATGCCTCTGTTATTTCCCACTTTTATGATATGGAACAAATCTTTTAACCACTCTGGGTTAACCATTTTGTAGAAGGGTAAGAAGCTATTCAATACAGGGTCTATGACTTCTCCCACTATAGACTCTTCTTAGACTGGTGATATACTTAAGTTACATTTTAATTCAATTTCCTCATAAAGATGGACAAGATAATATCTAATTAAGGTACTTTTCAGCTCTAAATCTGTGATTCTATGATCTAATTGAATACCTATCCCATTGCTGAACTTGTCAGGAAACTAGTTGAACTCTGAGTCCTTGACTATAAAGAGATCCTAAAATCATACTCAAATTTGTTCTTAATTCTCACAATTACCAATCGAAACTAAAGTGAAATCTGACCAGACATCACAGTCTGAAACAGCTATGAGGCTTAAGACTTTGATGGGTTAATTCTATTGGCTGGAGGGCGGAGGTGGGAGGGATGTAGGATGGAACAAAGGTCAGTACAAGATGAACATTAGGAAGAAAAGAACCTTAGGTTTTTTTAATGGAGATATTTTTGGAGTTTCTATATTTTTATTAATCCTTCCCAGAGAAGACTGACCTCCTTTCATTTCATTCTGTCTCAAATATTTTTTAAAAAGAGTAGGAATCAAAGGCTTTGTCTCCCTTCTTGACCTACCAACATTCCTCTTATTGTAGACCTCTGTCATTTTCCATGTTTAAAAGCGTGATTTCCACTGATGCCTTACGGGAAGAATGGAAAATCAAATCACTGGATCAGAGAAGTGAGAATAGGAAGAGTTCTCATAGATCAGATTCTTTAACTTCTTTACCTGACAAGAAAAGGAACTAATCCCCACAGAGGTTAAATGACTAAAGTCTCACAAGAAGGATCATTTCAATCATTTTTCAGTCCTGTCTGACTCTTTGGGACTCCATTTGGGGTTTTCTTGGTAAAGATATTAGAATTGTTTGCCATTTCCTTTTGCGGCTCATTTTACAGATGAGGAAACAGAGGCAAACAGGGTTAAGTGACTTGCCCAGGGTCACACAGCTAGTGAGTGTCTGAGGCCAGATTTGAAATCAGATTTTCCTGACTCTAGACACAGTATTCTATCACAGAGCTGCCTTGGCAGAATATAAACTCCTGGGAAGGCAGCGACTGTTCCATTTTTGTCTTGGCATCTCCAAGTGAGTAACACAGCACCTTGCACATAGTAAGGGCTTAAAATATTGTTTGCTGAATTGAATTGAAGGTTTACCAGAGGCACTAGGGGATTCAAGGCAGTACCAGGAGAAAAGAAAGGAACAAAGATTGGAGGAAACAAAAGGAGCCAAGAGGGGCAGTCTTAGTACCTACTGATACTATATGGGTTTGAAATACAGAAATATTTGTCACATTTACTTAGCAATTAAACTAAAAAAAAAAAAACTGCCTCTCTATTAGCATGGATGGGGGAAAGGGACTGGCAAAATAGACAGAGAGAAGACTCAGCATTCCCTAGGCAAGGATAATGTAACTTCAATGTGTTCCCAGTCTAAGAAGAGGCCATAATGGAAGAAGTCTTAGATCTTGCATCAAATAGCCTCTTACACCATGAACAAATAAGTGAGCTTTAAAGATATTTTTGGTTTCTACTTCTCTTTGACAATTTTTGACCAAAAAGTAAAAAATGGAGGGAGTGGTGATGGTGATAATGGAAGGAAAATGGCTGGTATGTGTGTGGGGGTGGGGGCATATTTATTGTAGAAAGGTTTGTAGATTTTTAGAGGCATGGATGGACAATTGGCTAAATCAGCGAATGACTAGATAGGTCAGAAGATAGCTCCTCTTCCCTCCCCAGTCAAATATATCCTAGAAAATTCACAGAAGCATCATAGCCCACCCCATGTAAAGTTGGTAGACACTGTCTTACACTGAATGGCTCTGAGTCGGGGAATGATGGTGGGACTCGCAGGAGGACTGGAGCCACTACTGATCAAACTCTTCCTCTTGTCCATGGTTGGAGACGCCTGCACAGTGAATTTGTGCTGAAAATCTAGTTAGAGATGAACATACAAAAAAATTCATTTATCAGGAAGATTATTCTACCATCGAATAATCCAAATGAGAATTGAAATTTCCCGGCAGGCCCAAGAGGCAGACATCGGTTTCCTGAAAGGCTCATTCTTTCTCTCTTTACCTAAGAAATGTCCTTCTCAGCTTTGTTATCTCATTTCCCTAGGACCTAGAGTCTAGAGACATGGGAAAAGGATGAGAAAGAGGAACATTCATTTTTGGATTGGATTTCATTAGGGATATCATTATGTCTACTTTAGGTAAGCATCTTGGCATCAGCACATGCAATATGAAATTGAGCACTTTGCAATATAAAAGAGGATTGTATTTCATATTTATTCTGGGAAAAAGCATCATCCAAAAGACTATCCTCCTCATAATCTAACAGCTCAGCTTTGAACCTCTTTTAGGAGAAGTAGAAGAAGCAAACCGTCTTTGTGTAGCTTATGTGCCTTGCAAGAATGATTATTACTATGTCCATTAGTACAATTTTAACAGTGTGGACAACGAATAACATGGGGGATATAGGTCAGAGAGCATGAAGACAGGGACTGTCTGCCAATCATACTGACCTGGGATGAATGGTCCAACTTACAGTGTTTTCTAAGAACAATGTGCTTACAGAGGCAAGGCAATTCAAGAAATATCTATTAAATGTGTACTTGGTGCATACGTTTATGGTGATAACTCAAAGACCTGATTCTTGGAGTGCATTTTCTTTCTACGGTAATGTACTTGGCAAGGGACTATAGTTTTTGCCAGGGATAGAAAGACATGAAACATCTGCTCAGGAAATACATCCCCCCTTACTTGTACTCACATGCTAAGGGGGAGTACCCCAAGTCCGCATGCCTAAAACTCATGAGCTCCTACCAGTGTGCCTTTTTTTACTAGTCAGCCAACAGACACAATTAGTTCAAATTAAAGGTATTTACTAAAATTATAAGAACAGTAACTACAAAAAATTAGTCCCATGAACCTCGGTTGTACTTTCCCACAACTCCACATAGAGTCAGTGGGAAATTCTCTCCAACAGCTCTCACACAGAGTCAGTGTGGGAAGAGTGGGCACAAATTTAGAGTAATAGAAAGGCTATTGTTGTTGTTGTTTATCCTTCGTTCTCGAAGACGACCATGACCCCAGTGAGGTGGTGCATACGCTGAGGTTACACGTGGCCAAAGCAACTCACCCCTTCAGCACCATGAAACCCCAACTTCCTTTCCTTCTCCTGTTGATGCCCTGAGCAGGTTATTCTCCCGGGCTCCTTGAGCCTGTATCTCACTGTAGCTCAACTCCTGATGGTCGGGGCTCACTCCTCAGAGCTACTTCTTGCGGTCATTTGTCAGCTCTGCTTCCTATCGGGCGTGATGTCTCCAACTAATCCTACTGTAAGGTACCATGGCCAATGTGGGGAGGGGAGAGGAGGAGAGAAATATCCTAACCATCACCCCCACCCCTCACAGGCAAGGAACGGTTTTCCCTCTCGACAGCTGACTTCTTTCAGAGCTGACTCTTTTGTCTGATGCCAGGGATCACACTCCTCAGAGCTGGTTCCTGCCTTGACTGTATCCTTAGGACATATCTTGCTTTTAAAAGGGCCACCAGGAACATGGCCAGCCAATGGCTAACTTCCTCCTAGTTTTACCCATTTTGATTAGAAAATTACTTCACACCTAAAGGGATAACAGAATGTTGACATGACTTTGCAACTTGCTTATATCCTTAATATCTCACTGTCTCTGTTACGTGCTCCTTATTTTCTATGATTTTATCACCTGGATTGGGGAAAAAATCACGGGTCTCTTGATAAACTCTCCCAACTGTAGACAAATAAGGCACAGGTCCTATCTTCAAGAATTTTACAATCTGATCTTAAATTTTAAAATGATAATTTTAAATTATATTTAATTTAACTTAATTTGATTAATATAATACTATATTAATATTAATAAATGCCAACAATCACCAATAATGTTAATTAATGAGATTAATAAATATTAACAAACAATAATAAATAAATAGATAAAATTTAAATTATTTATTTAAATATATTTAATAATAAATCTATACTGATGATTATATTAATTATAATAATTAATACATATCGTTTATTATATGTTATTATAATAAAATGAAAAAAATTGAATTTTGTGTTTTGGTACATCTTAGAAATGAACAAATGTGGTATCTAAATATACCTATGTCTAGAGACAGTTGTGGTATGCTTATATGCAGTAAAGCTAATTTTTAACAAGTCACACAAGAAAATTAGTCTCATTGCTTTATAGCAACAGTCTCCAAATGGTGACTAAATACCCCTGGGCAACTATGACGTGCCCCTCAAGGGGTAAATGATCAGTCCACTGGTGGATGAGAAGATGAGTTACATTCCACTTTGCCCAACATAGCCAGTCATGGGGCTTCTCTCCGATGCAATCATACCTTGCCCCATTACTGCCAGCATTCCACAACTACATTATTTCCCACTGCTCATTCTCTCTTCTCTGTCAGGTGTTAGTTATGACCTAAGCTCAGCCCAGAAACCCCCAGCAGCAGTTACATAGATTTCATTAGGGAAAATCCTTTCTCCCAGCATACTCACTCTCTGCCCCCCAGAATACCATGTGACTGCAGCAGGTACCCCTCAGATGGCAGACTCTGTGCTCGGAAGCACTGACCAGTGAGTAAGAACTCCACAACCCTTTTTTATTTTGGGTGAGACGCATGGATGGGTTGCAATCTGCATCACAGATGTCATTACATTATTTTTCCTCCTTAATTTACACATATTCCAAACCTCCTAAGTGCTCCATCAATCTTCCAGTCATCCGGGTTTGCCAACTTAATGTCAAATTCACTTTCACTCACCCAGGTTTGCCAACTTAACGTCATCTTCACTTTCACTCACCCCACATATCCAATCAGTTGCCAAATCTCGTTTCTGTCCTATAGCTCTCACAATTGTCACCTTCTCTCTACCGACAGAGTCACCACCCTTGTTCAGGCCCTGATCACCCCTCATTTGGACTATTATCATGGCTTCTTAATTGGTCTCCCTGCTTCAAGTCTATCCCCACTCCAATCCATCCTTCACAAAGCTGCCAAAGTGAATTTCCAAAGTACCGGTCTGATCATGTCAACTCCATATTCAATAAATTCTAGTGGCTCCCTAGTTTCCCTAGGATCAAATATAAAACTCCTTTGTTTGTATGTTTAAAGCCCTTTGCAACCTGACTCCAACCTGCCTTTCCCACATTATTATCTATTACTCCCCTTCCTGCACTCTATAGTCTAGACAAACTGGCTTTGTTGCTATCCCTCGAACCCATACAAAATCATAGCTAAAACATGCAAATATGAATGGGAAACTAAGGTGTGATACAGCCCATTAAGCAGAACCACATAAATAAAGAAGAATGGATTAATATTGAAAACTTTCTGCTGATATACGCCACTTTCGCTTGTTGATTTTGCACTGTCCATAATGAATTGCTTCATAAAGAGAAATCTAACTCAAGCAGAAGAGCTGTGATGTTCACTGGCTGTTACGACCTATTATTTGATTGTTATATTGGGAACTTTTTAACAAAAAGGTCATGAAACAACAAAAACAAAAAGAAATTTTCTTGTCTGGCTCACCACATTGATCAAACTAATTAAATGCTTAAATACTAATCAACAATTATTCTTTTACAAGTCAACTCTATCCCCCAATACGAAGGAATTTTTCAAATATATTGAAGCATATCTGATCAAGATCCTCAAGAGCAAAAAGAGATTTTGTGCCATTGATGAATAAAAATTTTAAATTAAAAAATTATTTCATTTTTATCTCATTCCTTTTAGTTACTAATTTATATGTGTTTCATAATATATTCAGTATATTATTAAATTAGTATTTGTATATGATTTATATATAAATGTGTATATCCTGGAGTACAAGCTCAAAACCTTTTTGATGACAGAGGTGGATGTATGATCAAAAACTTAATTGTAACACCACAAAACATGTGTGTACATATATGTATATGTAAATCATACATGCATATGCGGGCATTAAAACATTACACATTGAATTATAATATCACATATAACACCACATAAATATGTGGGCATATTTGTATGTGTGTGCATATTGTTTTGTCTATATGCACATATGTGTTTGTGTGGTGTTACCATGTGCTGTGTACATACATGCATAGCCCTACATACATGTGAGTGCCAGGCCTGGAGTCAGAAAGACTCATCTTCCTGAGTTCAAATCCAGTCTCAGACATTTACTAGCTGGGTGGCCCTAGGCAAGTCATTTCACCTTGTTTGCCTCAGTTTCTTCATGTGTAAAACGAACCCTGAAAGAAATGGCAAACCACTCCAGTATCTTCGCCAAGAAAACCCCAAATGGAGTCACAAAGAGTCGGACACCACTGAAATGGCCAAACAACAACAAAATATGTGCATACATGCTCATATATGCATTATGTACATGTAGATATACATGTACCTACCAATGTTTGCATATATATATATACACATACAAGTATACATGTAAGTATACTCACAAACTAGTATATATATATACACACACACATACATATGTATGTACACATATCTACGTAAGATATACGTGTATTTGTATGATGTTAAAATAAAACAAAGGTCTTCAAAATTTATATCATCAGTAAAAAAAAATGAGCACATATCCTCCAATATATGTATAAATTATATACAAATATTACTATAGTGACACATACATTGTAAAACACATGCAGATATACATATGTATATAGCTTTGGACTCACACCAATATATACATTTATCTGCATGTATACATACAGGTAAACATGCACGTGTATACACATACATGTTACATATCAGTTTATATGCATGTATACATGATTCCATATGTATAGCTATATATCTCAATGATTAAACATGTACCATGGGCTAGGCACAGTAGTAAGTGCTGAGGATACAAAGAAAAAGCAAAAACAAGCTTCTACCCTTAAGAAACTATCTAAGGGGAAGGTAGCAACTATAAGTAAGAAAGTACAAGATAAGTACGGAGTAAGTTCAAAATCCAAAGTCTATATCTAATCTCTCTATGCACACATGTATGCCTACCTAAATGTAGAATAGATACTGACATCTTGATATAAGTTTGCATCTGCATCTTTATCTTTTTATCAGTCTAGTCAGCTGAGGGTTCTCTGGGCCTCATGGTCTAATCCCTCCTCACCTCTGCCCCTTGGAATTTCCTGGTCTCCTTCAATGCTCAGACCAAGCACCACCTAGTCTCTACCACTTTTAGTGGTACCTTGGTATCTTGCATATGTCTTATTTTTGTTGTTGAGTCACGTCCGACTCTATGTGAGCCCATGAACTTTGCTATTGTTTCTTTTTCTCCAGTGTGCCCCCATTTTACAGATGAGGAACTGAGGCAAATAGGGAGTAAGTGACTTGTCTAGGATCATATAGCTAGGAAGTGTCTGATGCTGGATTTGAACACAGATCTTCCTGACTCCAGGTTGGGTGCTCTATCTATTGCACCACCTAGCTGCCCCATATATGTGTTATATGTGTTGGTATATACCCATATGGCATATACATCATCTCCCCTCTCCTCCTCACCCCTCGCCTGCCCCCGAATGTAAATTCCTTAAAGCAGGGAAGGTTTCCCTTTGTTTATGTATCTCCAGTCACTGGCATGGTGCATTTGCTTTATTATAACACCACACAAACATTTATGTATAAATTTATGTATATATATGTATATACATACGGAAACATTACATACGTGTGGTGTTACATGTAATATCACACATAACACCAAACATGTATGTATATTTGTATGTGTGTGCATGTTGTATTGTGTATATCACATTATATATATTTGTGTGGTGTTATAATGGGCTGAAAATGCCTGGCACCTATCAGGAGCTTAGAGAACCAATGATATCATGTTTAATCATTGAGATATACAGCTATACATACGGAATATGGCTATACATATGGAATCACACATACATGCATATACACTGGTATGTAACATGTATGTGTATACACATGTATGTTTACCTGCATGTATACATGCAGCTTAATGTATATATTAGTGTGAGTCCAAAGCTATATACATATGTATATCTGCATGTGTTTTACAATGTATATGTCACTTACTGATTGATTACAGTGTCTCCTAGGCTTTGTTGTTGGGTTCTTTCCATCATGTCCTGCTCTTCATGACCTCATTTGGGGTTTTCTTGGCAAAGACACTGGAGCGGTTTGCCATTTCTTTCTCCAGCTCATTTTACACATGAGGAAACTAAGGCAAACAGGGTGAAGTGCCTTGCCCAGCGTCACCCAGCTAATAAGTGTCTGAGGCCGGATCTGAGCTCAGGAAGAGGAGTCTTCCTAAGACTCCAAGCCCAGTGCTCTGTGCACCATGGTGCCCCCAGCCGCCCCTCTAGGCTTCAGGACTACTCAAATCACGGACCTGACGGAAGGCTGATGCGGTTGCCATCCTTGAGTTTCAGCCGGTTCTTCTTAAACTTGCCCTTGCGTTTCTTCACGCGGGGCTTCTCTTGGCACAGCTGACGGATGATGACGTTGAGCTCCCTTTCCAGGATGTCGATCTCCCGCTCGGCCAGCTCTTGCTCCCGGCGCCTCAGGAGCTCCTCGTGGTTCTTCTGCTGAAGGGCTGCCCGGGTCAGCTCTTCCTCCCATGTACGAAGCTCCTACCAGAGACAGAGACAGCGACAGACAGAGACAGAGACAGAGGAAAAGCATGGACCCGGGGAAGTGCAGGTGGCATCGTTTTTGACACAATCAATTAAGTTCTACTTCCTCATGATCCTTCACAGAATCAAGAATGTTAGAATTGGAAGGGATTTAAAAGATCATTTAGACCTAGTTCCCCTCATATTTCAGAGATAAAGAAACTGAGGCAGAGAACAACTACGTGATTTTTTTCCCAGAGAAGCACATGCATTTATATTGTAAGACAGCAAGGCTAAGTGAATAAAGTGCTAGATTTGTAAGCCCTTTTATTTCAGGGAGTATTTCATTTTTGTCTTTGTACCTCTAGCACTTGGCACAGTGCCCAGAACATAAAAAGCATTTAAAAAAAAATAGCTGTTTGCCTTCTTAAAGAGGAAGGAGGGGAGAGAGGGAGAGAGAGAATTTGGAACTCAAAATATTAAAAATGAATGTTAAAAATTATTTTTATATGTAATTGGAAAAAAAATGTATACTTTTTTTTAATGGTTGTTGATTGATGCACTTGGATCCAGGAAAACTTGGATTCGAATCCCACCTTTAACACTTAACTAGCTGTGTGACAATGGCCAAGTCACTTTAAACTTCCCTGAGCCTCAGTTTTTTTCATCTATAAAATGGGGACAGGAATACTTGTAGTACCCACCCAACAAAGTTGTGAAGATCGAATGAAATCTGTATATGATGTAAAGCTCTTTGAAAACTTTAAACCACTGTTATGGAATATCCCAAAAGTCTTAGTGCAGCTTTAAGCTTTGCTAGCTTAAAATTGCACTAAGATTTTTGGGACACCCTGCATATATATAATCATTATTACATAGTTGTTCTAGTGAATAAATCTGAGACTGGTAGTATCAGCTTTAACCTCACCTGCAAAGTTCTTGGTCTCTTGTTCGATCAATATTTATTAAATGCCTACTCTGTGCCAGGCATTGTCCTAAGCGCTGCTACATGATGAGGAGGAAAGGATGATGTTTCCCAAGAGTCTGAAATAATTTTGCTCCACAAGCCACCAAATAGAATGCCAGAGCCCCTATAACCACTCAAATGCATTGTTGTTGGTGTTCTCAAAGAGAACCAATGATATCAAGAGCTCAGTGTCTTGATTTGCAATTGAGTTGGGTTTAATTGGTAACAGTCACATGAACAGGGCTGTTGAACCTCTGGGGCATCATGCCTCTAAGTATCCATTTTGTCAAATATCATGGTTGTGCCCAATGTACAGAGTGTGAAATTGAGGCAGAAATAAGTTCCCTAAAAAATTTCAGTGAGTCATTCAGTGATGAAACTTAAACTACAAGTTCACATGCATAATTGATATCACACTGTTTGCATTCTCAGTGGGTGGGGGATGGGCAGGAGGGAGAATGAGAATTTAGAACGCAAAATTTTTTAAATGAATGTTAAGAAACTGAGGCTACAATCCAGGAATCTACCATTGGGAATCATGTTTTGACCCAAGAACCAGCGATAATTCGAAGAGATTACATTCAAATAAAAAGATTAAGGCAGTCAAGAGAACTATCTCCAAATTTGAACTCAGGGTTTCTTGACTTCAGATGTAGTGCCTTTCTCTGATAGCTGGCACCTCGTGGGAACACAGCATTGAAGGCAGGAGATCAGAAGAATGGGGGAAGATGACAAGCAAGCAATTCAGTGAGGCAAATGGCCTTAGGAGCCCAGCAAAAGCCTGGTTTCTTAAGGATGCCATCAAGAGGGAGAAAAAAACACGAAACACTAAAATCTCTATAATGTAATTTTATAAGATAATTAGGTCCAAAGAGAGAACCAAGAGACTTAGTTTGTGAAGTTTCTGTGGTGAAACATTAGTTGTTGAAATTTAAATATTTCTCATAAATCCTCATTGGCAGGAAACTGGGCTGAAACATGATAAGGTTTGGAGACCGAAGGGGGATAAAGGAGAGGGAGAGTGGATGGAGAATAACAGACGAAGAAAACGAGAGACAGACCAGACGAAAAGGGAGACGCTATAAACTCTGTGTCTTCTTGGTAGTTTGTCCTCAAAAATAGATTCTTCAAAGTCATCATTTTTTAAAAACAATGCTTTCCTTTATTATACTACTTTTTCCTTTCCTTTTTTTTAAATTTAAGGAATAAAACAAGCATTTCCATAGCACAGTATAATAAAAAAGATGATTGCAATGAAATTGCAAATCTATTATGCACAACTTGCTATTCCTTTAAAATGTATAATAAAATTATCACATAAATCTATTTATTTATTATTTTCTTCCCTTTCCCTCCCAACCCTGTCCTAGAGATGGCTACCATTAGACAAGAGACAGAGGGAGACGAAGTAAAGGGAAGGAAAAGAGAGGAGGAAAAAGAGATGAAGAGGGAGAAAGGGGTGGGGAGGAAGAGGTCAGAGGAAAAGAGGCAAGAGGGAATACAGGGGAGAGGGTAAAAGAGAAGAGAAAAAGAGGAGGGAGAAGGAGGGAGAAAGAGGGAGGAGAGGAAGAAAAAGGAAAGAATAAAAGAATGTTTTTTCATAAAATCTTTTTCTAAATTAAAAAATCTTTTTATATATCTTTTCAACGTCTTCCTTCTTTGGGGAAATAAACCTGTTACAAATAATTATTCTGAGCCCTCCAAATCCTTTGCTGTCTTGTGTGACTCCTTTGCCTTCACCACAGGAAGAACAAAATGATTTGGAAATCACAGAATAATTATGCTCAGTTGGTTGATTTTGCTGTTAAAGGGAAAAGTTGAAAAGTTCAAGATGGTTGCAGCATTTCATTCATTCCTTTATTCCTGCTGGTTCCTATGAGTGGCAATAGTTTGAGTTTACAAAAGTCCCTTCCCTCTAAGAAACTCAGATTTCTCCCCTCCACAGACCCCGAGACTCATTCCCATAGAACCTAAAACAGCAGAAACAGTAGCAATTAACAGTAGCAGATAGGACCCATTGTCGGCAATAAGGAAGCCACCTGGCTGAAGGAGGCATCGTTGTAAGTCCATAGTAGTACTGGACACAGGAGCTACAGTAATTTTACAATCTGAAGTGCTAACACTCTATGAGTAAAAGCCTGGTAAGAAGCATTTCTGTAAATAAAGTTGCATAGCAACTCAAATCACGCTTGTCACATACAGATTGAGGAAAGGTACTCTCACGACAAGAAGCATAGAATATAGATCTTTTCCTTGTTCTTTTCAAATATCTAAAGAACTGTGATTTTATCTGCTTGGGGAAACTCCTGGTGTGGGAACTCTATCCACAAAGGCAGATCACAGCTTGTCTTAATAGGAAAGTCTTAAGAAATTGATCGGGCTTGTAGAGACAAAGTACTTTATCCATAAAATTATATCTATAAATTCACTTTACAAATGTGTTCTGTTTATTCAGATACCATGCAATGGTAAAGAATTTTAATTGATATTGCACAATGAAAATGTTCTTTAAAGTGGTGCAATTAGTCACTTCTGAAAATTAGTTTGTTTTTTTTTTTCTTTTGGACCAGAACTTTGATTTCATTAGTCTGAGAAAACTTCATTGAACAACACACTCTGTAACTTGTGGTCTTATAGATTAACTTAGGGGACTTAAAGGTTAGGTTCCTTGCCCAGGATTACACAGTTAATAAATATTAGAGGCAGGATTTCAACTCAGGTCCTTCTGACGCTACTAAAAATCCAAGGCTCATTCCATACTTTCTTGTTGTTGTTATTGTTATTCAGTAATTTTTCAGTCACTTGTGATGTCATTTGGGGCTTTCTTGGCAAAGATACTTGAGTGGTCTGCCATTTCCTTCTCTAGCTCATTTTACAGATGAGGAAACAGAGGCAAACAGGGTTAAGTGACTTGCCCAGGGTCACACAGCTACGAAGTATCTGAGGCCAGATTTGAAATCAGGAAGATGAATCTCCTTAACTTCAGGCCCAGCACTCTGTTCACTGCAACACCTAGCTGCCCTTCACCATGCTGCCTCCCTTCAACTTGGAACATAAGTGGACAATCCTACAAGGTTAGGCTGTTGCTAAGTGCTTTGCCCTTTTATTCCTGCCATATCTTAGGTAGAAAAAATATATTCTATACCATTTCAAGCAAAACCCGAGACCTAGAAATTTTCCTCCTCTTTCCTAGGAAAAATCAGCTATCACCTTGTAATGAATAAGGAGGTAGGCTTGTTAGAGCCACTGAGATCTGGCCAGGTTTCAGCCATAGCTGGGATGGCACATTGATGGGTAGATGAGTTCATTCTTTACCTTTTCTTTGGCCCTGAGTTGGTCAAACATCTCTTGAATCTCATGTTTCCAGTCATCCTGCAGGCAGTGGAAGGAGTCCTTGGGCATTTCAAAAAAGCCAGACTCTTCAATAGTAGTGAGTTGGTCCAGGATATTCATAAAAGATGGTCGTGAATGGGGGTCAGGATTCCAGCAGTCTAACCAGGGTAGATACAGATGGATAGACAAAAAGAATGGGAAGAGGTAAGCATTAGAATTACAATATGAGTTGACCAGTCTTACCCTAAAGCTTCCTCTCATCCTTCCTTCCTGAGGCTCCTGAATGAGGAAACTGTTGCCACTAATAATAGCCAAGAATCAGGCAAAATGCTGGTCTATGAAAATTACATTAAAATGATGACTCCTAGGAAAAGGAACAAAGACCTAGAGATGTCCAAAGTCACAAGAATAGCATCTAAAAGTAAACCCTTGAGTCCTAATTTTCAGACCAACTAACAGGGAAAAAATTAATATAAGGGATCTTCACTTGTAGTAGGTATCATAGTAATAATCCATCATATTTTAAGATGGAGAGTTCTTGCCTCTACGATCTTATACATTTACACAAAAACACAAATATATGTATGTGTGTATGTATGTGTGTACAGATACACACATGCATGCACCATACATATCACCCCCGTCACGGAGAAGGTCCAAAGGTTCCCTCTTCCCTCTAGGATAAAATGCAAACTCCTGTTAGCAAAGCCTTAGCTGGAAGGAACCAGTCTAATGCCATTTTCTCACAGATGAACAAATGTAGGATAAGAGGTATTAAGTGACTTGCCTAGGAAAGAAAATCAGTATTAGAGACAGGACTCAAACCCACGATCTAGTGCTTTTGAATCAATGACTTAAAAATTGCTGAACTGAAGCGAAGGGATTCCCAGCATCATATCATAGATTTAGAGCTGGAAGGGAATTAACAGGTCATCTAATCCGACCACCTCCTTTGACAGATTTAGGAAGAGAGTCCCAAAGTAACTTGCCCAAAAAACATAGGTATGCAGTGGCAGAGACCAGCTTTGAAGTAAGGTCCCTTCGCTCCAAATCCTGTGCTATTTTCCCTTCGTTCCACTGCTGCCTTTATATCAGGGCACTAGTGCCAGCTCAGTCACTAAATGTGTGGCCCTCCTTAAGCCACTGAGCCCAGGGTCTCAGTTTCCTTACCCGAATGACCCCTTCTGGCTCAAATGTTCCACACATTCCAAGTATTCATTCACAGACTTTGCTGCTTACTAAGTCAACCCTCTCTATCATGGGTGGTCAGCTATAAGAAGCACTTAACTAGCCCCGTATAGCAAGGCATAGATGACAAAATGAGTATTGTTTCCATTATCCATAGGATTTCCACTAGGGATGACTAATACCTAATTTTCTCTCTTGATAACTGATGTTGTAAAAATTCAGCAATGTCACAGTACTCCCCTACTCTCCTCCAGCCAGGGGGCCACTTACCTTCCATGAGTTTGGTAAAAGGTTCTGGGCACGTAGAAGGAATGGGAAGGGCAAGCTTATTCATGGCAACCCCATAGGCTACTGCTAAGCCGTCTATGCCTCGGAAGGGTACTTCACCCGTCAGCAGTTCCCAAAGCAGCACACCATAGCTAAGGAGAGCAAAGACAGAGACTCCATAGGAAATCACACATCAGACTCAATTACCAGAGCTTGTGTGGCCTTGCCAAACACAGAAAAGGCTCCTCATGCTAGTGGGGAGCCAATGGACAACATATCATGACTAATATGATTTTCATCATGGTGCTTTTGAATTGTTCTTATTGGCAATATGGTACAACAGAAAGAACATTGGTCTTGGAGTCAGGAGACCTGAATTCTAGTTCCATCATTATCCTCCCTTAAAAAAAGCTTTTCCTTGTGTGCCTTTTTTATATGAAATAATTTCCCCCATTCTACCTCTCCCTTTCCCCTCTTCCCAGTGCACCCCTCTTTCTCACCCCTTCATTTCTTCTTAAGATCATCTCAACATAACTGACTCACACCCATGCCCACTGTTTATGTAGACTGCTTCTAACTGCCCTAATAATGATAAAGTTCTTATGAAATTACATGTATCATCTTCTCATATAGGAATGTAAATGGTTTAACCTTATTGAGTCTCACATGATTTTTCTTTCTTGTTTACCTTTTTAGGCTTCTCTTGAGTCTTGTGTTTGAAAATCAAATTTTCTATTCCACTCTGGTCTTTTCATCTGAAATGCTTGAAAGTCCTCTTTTTCATTAAATACACATTTTTCCCCTGAAGGACTATACTCAGTTTTGCTGGGTAGGCTATTCTTGGTTGTAATCCTAGCTCCTTGACTTTCTGGAATATTATATTCCAGTCTTCTGCTCCTTTAAAGTGGAAACTTTAAATCTTATGTAATCCTGACTGTGGCTCCATGATATATGAATTGCTACTTTCTGGATGCTTGCGATATTTTCTCCTTGACCTGGGAACTGGAATTTGGGATCTCTTTCAGGAGGTGATCAGTGGAGTCTTTCAATTTTTATTTTACCCTCTGGATCCAACATCAGGGCAGTTTTTCATTTATAATTTCTTGAAATACAATGTTTAGGCTCTTTTTTTGATCATGGCTTCTGGTAGTCTTATAATTCTTAAATTGTCTCTCTTCAATTTATTTTCCAGGTCAGTTGTTTTCCTGATGAAATATTTCATATTTTCTTCTATTTTTTTCATTTTTTTGACTTGGTTTTATTGTTTCTTGATTTCTCATGGTATCATTAGCTTCCATTTGCCCAATTCTGATTTTTAAGGAATTATTTTCTTCAGTGAGCTTTTGTATCTCTTTTTCCATTTGGCCAATTCTGCTTTTTAAGCAGTTCTTTTCTTCAGTGAATTTTTGTACATTTTTTTTTCCATTTGGCCCATTCTGTTTTTTATGAAGTTCTTTTCTTCAGTGAATTTTTATGCCTCTTTTATCCTTAGACCAATTCTTTTTTTTAAGGTAGCGTTTTCTTCAGGATTTTTTGTGCCTCTTTTACCAAGCTGTTAATTCTGTTTTCATAATTTTCTTGCATCACTTTCATTTCTTTTCCCAATTTTTCCTCTGCCACTCTTATCTCTTTAAATTTTCCAGGAATTCTTCTTGGGCTTGGGTCCAGTTAGCATTTCTCTTTGAGGTTTTGGTTTTAGCTGTTTTTACATTGTTGTCTTCTTCTAAGTTCATGTCTTGTCTTCCCTACCACAGCCTTTTATTGTCAAGTTCTCTTTTTGTTATTTGCTCATTTTCCTAGCCTATTTCTTGACTTTGAACTTCATGTTAAAGTTGGGCTCTGCTAGCCTGGGGATGGGGAGTCACTGTCCCAAGCTTCAAGTTTCTTTGTGCTGTTTTCTAGGGGTTTGGAAGTTTTCAGTGCTTCCAAGGTGGTGTGATCCAGTGAGAGGTATGGTCATTGCTCTCTTGCTCTCCTAGTATAGAACAGAAAAGGTCCCTGTTCCCCTGCAGCCCCAAGCGTGCTAGAGGTCCTCTTGGCCTTGGAACTATGACCAGGTCTTCTGCTCTCCTGTAGCTGCAAGTGTTAGTGCCCTTCTCTGCCTTAGAACTGCAACCAGGGCCCCTGCTCCCTTGTGATGGCTGCAGGAGCTCCTTTCCACTCTGGAACTGCCACAGAACTGCATATGGGCAATAGAGATGCCAATCAGCACCAGCTGCACCCAGTGCCAACAAAGGGTCCTCTGTAAACTCCTTCTGATCAGTTACTGTCTCTGACCCCATTATTGTCTCTTTGCTGAGAGCTCCCAAAGTTGCTGCTACTGCTGTTGCAGTATATGTTCCAGGCCAGTGGCTCCACTGCTCCAGAACTCAATTTGAGGCATTATTTAAAAGTCATTTGGAGGGGAATGTTGGAAGAGTCTGCCTGGGTTGCCACCTCTAATCTGTCATCTTGGCTCTGCCCGCCTCTCTCATTTTTTAGCTATCATTTTCCCATAAGTTGTTGGATGCAGAAGACGTGGCAAAGGCCATGTCCTCATCCTGGCATCCCAGACCTTTTCTGAGTAACTCCTAAATTTTCTTAGGTTGGAAAAATGTCTCACTCTGATCTTTTGTTGGCTCTGCCACTCTAAAATTTGATTTGAGGTGTTATCTTAAAGTTGTATGAAGAGGAATGTTTAGAGAGTTCAACTGGGTTATTGCCTCTAATCTGCCGTCTTGGCTCCACCTCCCTCAATTAAACATAATTTTTTAAAAGAATTTCATTAGCAGGCCAAGAAGGGGAGGGGAGGGGAAGGAATAGGAGGCAAGGAGTGATAGACATATTGTCAAAACCATCTAACACCAGCTAAACTGAGTCAGAAAGCATTCCCTCAGCATCAGACCCCATTTGAATAGTCCTTATCTACAACCTCAAGTACAATGCCAGAGGGGAACGGAAAAATAGTAAGCGTTAGACCTGGAAAACAACTCATCACCTAATTCAACCCTCTTTTTTTCACAACGAGAAATATAAAATTCATAGAGGGGAAGAGTGCCTGAGGCATGGCAGAATAATAGATGTAGCTCTAGCTCTGGGGTCAGAGAACATGGGGCTCCTATGGTTCTGATGCATACTACCAGTGTAACTTTGAGCAAGTCATTTAAACTCCCTGGGCCTAGGTTTCCTCATCTATAAAATGAAGGGGTTGAACTAGGTAGCCCCCAACTTTCCTTTGTGTTTTAGAGCTATGATCCTTTGACCCAATCATCCCCATTTTACAGATGTGGAAACTAAGATTCAGAATGATCATACAAGACATACAGCTATAGCAAATAACAAACAGGATGAGGATTTGAACTGAGGACTCCTGGTGCTCCTTCTAGTACATCATAATTGCCTATGGCCCAAGACTCAAAAGCTATTGAGATTCTTTGGGGGAGAAGAAGGGATTAATTTACATTAGCTACCTCATTCTGTAATGTCAACAGAAAAGCAGAATTAGATATACAGAGATTCGGCTAACATGGAACTATGTTTCTGAAATGTAAAAAGCTGATAACGTTACATTTTCTTGTATACAATGATGCTAATGACTTATTGTTAGACCACCTAGTTTAGCCCTCTTAATCTAGAAAACCAATCTGAACACTAGAACTGATTTGTCCAAAGTCACACGGGTAGTAAGAAGCAAAGCTTGGATTTGAACTTATGTCCTATAACTCCACTTCTTTTTACTGTACCACACTGAAAAATACAACTTCCATTTTCCCCATATCTAAAAACACAGGAGATGCAAATAGTTGCTTGAAAAAATACACCTCCTGGAATGTGTTAAGTATATCCAAATAGTAGTAATCATATACCCTGACTAGATAGGGTAGATTTTTGTCTTGGCCTTTCAGGTCTAGAACAAGAGTTCTTAACCTCAGGTCTGTGAACTTATTTTTTAATTTTTTTTGAGAATTCCATTTCAATATAATTTGTTTCCTTTGCAATACTATATATTTAATGTTAAGCACTTAAAAAATTATTTTAAGAAGGGGTCCAAAGGCTTCACCAGACTTCCAAAGGAGTTCATGATGCCCACAGAAAAGATTAGGAATCCCTGCTCTAGAAGCAAGGTACTACTCAACATCTCTTCCTAGAAGGCAACCAGCTATCTTATCTGAACCACAGTCTATCCATATGGTGAAGCAATCCCTGGAAATCCCACTCCAGAATGGCAATTAGCTTTGCATGATTTTTGAAGATCATCCATCTATGTTCGGGTTCTCTTCCAATTGGGGGATCTTATGCTGCTAAACAATACTCAGATGCTGTAAGGGTCTGGGCAACTAAAATGAACTTGAGAATACAGCAGCCCTTACCTCCACACGTCACTGCCTTTGGAGAACATGGAGGAGCGGATGACTTCAGGGGCCATCCAAGCATAAGTTCCAGCCGCACTCATCTTGGTGGTCCTGTGCCACTCCCGGGCCAGGCCAAAATCCGTGATCTTCAGAACCTTGTTGCTCAAGTCTCCATTCTCAACCTTCTGGAGGATCAATACTGGACAAGGAAAGAAATAGAGAGAAAAAATGAGAAAGAATCAGCAGACTGAACACAAACAGTCCTGTTAAATAATAATTCACATTTATAAAACATATTGGTCCTATAGGGGAGGTAATGCAAGTATTATCCTCATTACTAAGCTAGTAAATAGTGGTGCTAAGGCTCAAACCACGTTTTTCTGTTTCCAAGTCTGACTCTTTTTCTCATTACACCCAGAGTTTTCCAATCTTTTCCAGTAGCCATGCCCTGTGGCCTTTAGTGAACCTTCTACATACCTCTTATTCCATAAGAAAAGGGATAATCTGAATCTGCCATGCATACATCCACAAAAAATGAAATTTAAAAAGGAGATTAATTCCCATAAAGAAAACTTTATTTGTATATAACATTTTTAGTGTCATAAAATTGTTCTCTAATACACACTTTTCTTCACTAACATTTCTATGGGGCTATTTCAGTAGGAAAACACAGTTACCTCCCAAATATTCCTTCTATCTCCTCAATAAACTCCTCATACCACCTTGAGGACACATGTACTACTGAACTGTACATGCCGTTTCCCTAGATAATTCAGATCCCACAGCCTACCTGGAACCTCTTTTCTTTCCATCTGTTAAGCCATCCAACACTTTCCTACGCATCATTACAGAATGAGTTACTTCATCCAAAAAAATTGGTTACAAAACTGTCTTCTGAGATCCATGGAGCCCTGGACACATGAGTTAATATCAACAGCTCACAGGCCAAAACATTTAGTCAATGTATTGTAGGCTAGATGTGCTGAGATCAGACCTGACCCTTCTTTTGGAAAGGCAACATTAAATTCATGCCTAACAACTGTGTCCCTGATTTTATTGCCACAGACCTCAGACTATCTGAAAAGCCTAACAAAAATATTGAAAAGATGAAGGAAGAGGCATTTGGGATATTGTTTTAAGACCAGTAGTATGACTTTTTTACATTTTCCTTTCTTTTCTTAAGAAAAGCTTTCACCTGGAAAAGTCTTCCCTATCCTAGTTTCATGGCTCTAGAGGTGGAAGCAGCTTCAGAGATTATGTAGGCCAAAAGGTCCAGAGAAGTTGTGACTTTCATAAGGACACACAGCAAAAAGCAGTAGAGCCAGGATATGAACCTAAGACCTCTTCACCCCATTCCAAAGCTATTTCTATTGTATCACCCTATCTCTTGCTTTTTTCCATTTTCCCATACACTGAGAATATGACAATAATAATAATGAAGATGAAGAAGACGAAGAAGAAGAAGAAGAAGAAGAAGAAGAAGAAGAAGAAGAAGAAGAAACCTTACAATAATCCTGAGAAAGAAGTGCTAATATTATCCCCATTTTACGGATGAGGACTGAGGTTCAATACTTGCCCAGCATCACCTAGCTAGAGTCTAAGGCCACATTTGAACTCATGTCTTTTTGACTCCAGGTCCAGCATTCTCTCCACTAGCTACCTCAACACGTTACAAAAGGTGAATGATGAAGGAGAGTCATTGTGGACCTGGCAAGAACAGGGCATGAGCACACTCCAGGAATGAGCAACCAGGCTTAAAAATTGGCTATGCAGGTTACGATCTGCATGTCTCTGGGCAACTCACTTAACCGTTCTGGGCCTCAGTTTCCTCAGCTTTAAATAAAGCAGTTGGACTAGATGACCCCCGGAGGTCATTTCCAGCTCTAAATCTATGAGCAGGGACAAGTGTTTCTTCTAGGGTGACATTCTGCAGTGGTTACACCAATTGCTTCTGTGTCTCCTAAAGGCAAATTCTTATAGTTCCTCAAGGCTAATTATTTATTAAATAGTAGCAGTTCATATTTTATCATGCTTTAAGGCTTACAAAATACTTTCTTCACTATCACCCTATGAGTACAGTGCTATCATTTTACAAATGAGAAAGCTGAGGCCCAGAGAGGTGACATAAAGAAGAATGTTGTTGTGAGACAGAAATAAAAAAGCTACACTTAAGAATGTAAGCCTTACCCTACTACTTATTGTGTAACTTTGAGCAAATCATTTCCTTCTCTGGGCCTTAGCTTCCTCATCTGTCAAATGAGATGAATGATCCCTTCCTTTCAGAGCTGGAAGACTGAAGGTATGCAATATTGCACATACTGCCCAAATGAAGTTAGCTGGCTTTACTAAGCTGCTTTTCAAGAATTATTATTCTTTTTTACAAGGCGTGGAAAGTTGGGCAAGGAATGGGGAGAAACATTCAGGAAAAAAGGTAATGTAAAATTAAAAAAAAATCTGCCACCTATTGCAAAAAGACAAGATAAAGAAATTGAAAGAATAAGCATAGGCAAAGGATGAAAATTATTGCTTTTTTGCAAATGATCTGATGTTTTATTTAGAGAAACCTAGAGATTCAACTAAAAAAAGTGAAATGATAAATAACTTCAGAACAGTACATGAATATAAAGGAAAGCCATGAAAAACATCAGCCTTTCTGTATGCCATTAAAAATAAACAGCAAGAAAAGATGGAAAAAGAAATTACATTCAAAATAACCATAGAATTTATAGAAACTTGGACATCTATCTACCACGACGCACTCAGGGTTTATGTAAATAAATACAAGTACAAAACACTCTACAGAAATAAAGGAAGATACGATGTTAGCAAGATATGAATTGATCACGGTTAGGTCATGCTGATGAAATAAAAGTGATGATACTAGCTAAATTAGTTCAGTGTCATACAAATCAAACTACCAAAGGATCATCTTAGAGAACTTGACAAAATAGTAACAACATTCATTTAAAGGAGTGAAAGGTCAAAAATTTGAAGTGAAATAATGGAGAAAATACTAATGGAAACTATTCTATAAATCAGTAATCATTAAAACTATTTGGTACTGGTTATAAAAAAAAAGTATCAATGGAATGGTTTTGGTAAATAAGACCAGAAGCAACCAAACTTAATAGCGATCAAACTTGATAAACCCAAGGACACTATTGGGGTAAGGACAGGTGTTTGAAAAAAAACTGACAAGAAAACTAAAAAGCAACCTGGCAGAAATTAGATTTAGACCAACATTTCACATCACATATCACAACTAGCTCCAAATGGACCCATGACTTGGATATATAATTGTCATCTTTTTTTTAAAAAAATGGAGCAGGATCAGAGAAGACAACAATTTTTACAACTATGGATAGGGAAAGAATTCTTTCATAAAAGAGAATTTTGAATACATAAAATTGAAAAGTTTCTGCATCAACAAAGTTAGACTTCGAAGGAAAACTGTTAATTGGGAAAAAAATCTTTGCAGCAAATGTATCTGACAGAATCCAAGATAAATAAAAAATTGATAACAAATATATAAAAACAAGAGCCATTCCCCAATAGATTAATGGGCAACAGAGTCAATCAGGTTTTTCTCAAAAGAAGAAAATAAGCTATCGACAACCATATTAAAAATGCTCCAAGGGGGAGCCAGGTGGCACAATGGATAGAGCACCAACCCTGGAGTCAGGAGGACCTGAGTTCAAATTCAACCTTAGACACGTAACACTAACTGTGTGACCCTGGGCAAGTCACTTAACCCCATTGCCTAGTTCCCCCCCCCCAAAAATGCTCCAAATCACTAATAAGAAAAATTCAAATCAAAACAACTCTGAGATGCTACACACCTACCAGTTAGTCAGTCAACACACAATTATTAAATGCCTACTCTGTGCCAGGGACTGTGCTAAGCACTAGGGATACAAAAAGGGGGGAAAAAGGAAAAAAAAACTAGTCCCTATTCTCATAGTCTAAGAGGGGAGACAATATGCAAACAGCTATATATAAACAAGATACATGCAGGATAAATTGGAGATAATCAACAGAGGGAAGGGGGTAGTAGTAAGGTGGAATTGGGAAAGGCTTATTGTAGAATGTGGAATATTAGGGAATATTAGCAGGGAAGGATGCCAGAGAAGATAGCAGAGAGAAATAAGGTGGGAGAGAATTCTAGGTACGGAGGACAGTCAGTAAAAATGCCCAAAGAAGAAAAATGGCAGTTGTTGCAGGAGCTTTGAGAAGACAGTCACAACATTTTTTAAAGCTATCAATAAAAATGTTTTAAAGTTAAAATGTAAATTTTTTAAAATTAGGTAACTGAACTAAAAGTTCTTCAAGGTCTCATCCAGGGCTAATTGAGTCTATGATCATCTTCCTCCTCTCTCATCTTTTTAGTGTAACTATCCTCATAAAAAAGCATCATCAAGGGAACACTCAAAACTGTACTTGGGACTGAGCCAAGACCACTCCTTCACCTACCAAAAGGGTTCCAGTAGAAAGTACATTACTCTGAGAGGAGCTTTCTCCAAGACAAAAACACCCTGGAGCACTAATGGAAACTGAGTGCTACATGCCATAAGGTAGGAAAAGCTCAAAGATTCTCCATGGGAGGCATTGCTTTATTACTACTTATTAGACAAAAATGCTTACTTGGCACATTTAGGAAAACAAACAAACCACCAGCATTGGAGAAACTTTTCCTAGCTAGGCAGCCAGCTCTCAAAGAAAGAGAAAACTAGCTCTAAACATCGATGGCAAGAGCCTCCATTTTGAAAAGCAGGAAATGGGCTAAAGAACTGCCACCTGGATCTTTCCATCATAGAAAGGAAAAGAACCTTGAACACTAACCAGCATCAGTCCCTTGGGAACCCTGTGCACAGTAAACTCTGAGAACCCCAAAGTCAGTCAGTCAGCAGGCAATTATTAAATGCTAGGCATGATACCAAGTGCTGGGGGAAACAAAGACAAAAAACCAGTACCTGCCCTCAAGAAGCTCCCATTCTAATGGGGCAGACAAATATGCAAACAACTGTGTACAAATTTGGACTAAATAGGAGGTAATCTCAGAGGGAAAGTACTAGCATTAGGGGATAGGGAGAACTGGAAACGACTCTTGTGGAAGGAGGGATTTGAGCTGAATCTTGAAGGAAGCCAGAGAACCCAGGAGATGGAGGTAAGGAGGGAGAACATACAAAATATGAGGGATAG